CTACTAAGACTTTAATGGTTTCTACTAATCACCCGTTTCTGTGCAATGTTATTCCAATGAAGGTATAACCATCAACAATTTCTATAGTTTGATTGCCGAACGTTAAATGCAGTTGCTTTAAAGTCGGTTGTCATCAGCTACCGTGCGTTACTACCGTGCCGGGACTCTTTTAAGGTACAACATATTATTTCAGCTATAGTAATATACTAAGCAACAAAAGAAACGTCAGTTTGGAATTTTCCTTCTCAGAAACGGATAACTGTTAACTCATTTAATGTTTTGATTGTATATTTTTGACAACATCTCCAACTCACCTGAACAAAGAGATTCCTTCCCAAACTCAGAATGGAACCCAGGAAATGGTATCAAAAACGCAACCTAATCTCGGTTTGGCCTTTCTCCATGTTTTTTCATGCAACTCATGCTGCACGTGCTGTTCACAAGCATCAGCCCTATAAAATGCACCAACCCTGGTTGAAACATTCACATTACAACGTCGGCAGGATGCCGCAACTCACGACAGCTCAGCGGAACCAGGCGCTGGCCACACTGCTCAAGCCGTTGCCAATCACTTCCAGCTCAACGTTCCGACCATCTATAGACTGCAGTGACGTTTCCGGGCCGCCAACACCACAAATGATCGCCCCCGTTCTGGCAGACTAAGGGTGATCACAAGACGAAAAGACCGCCATGTTGTCCGACACTATGTACTATCCCTTCATGCAGGCATCCGAAAGAGCACGCCAGACAGTGGGAATACACGGAAGACCAATCAGTACTGATCCAGTACGCTGACGTCTTAACAGCGGGAACCTCCATTGCCGTAGACCTTACCATGGACATATCCTCACTCCTCGTCATCGGCGTGAACGCCTACAGTTTGCCCTACAACACCAAAACTGGCGATGCAGGCAATGGAGAACTGTTCTGTTCACAGATGAGAGTCGGTACTGCAGATGGCAAAACGAGAATATGGCGACGACGTGGCCAGCGTTACTCAGACCAATGTGCTATCGAAAGGGCAAGCATCATGGTATGGGGTGGAATGGGCCTGAACCAGAGAGTGGGTCCTGTGGTGTTCCAGAACCTTGGTCTAGGGAGAGGAGGTGGCATCACAGCGGTGTGCGCATCGACCAAGCTCTCAGACCCCACAGCCGATATATTGCGCCAGGCCTTTCTCAGAGTGTGGTTCCAGTTGCCATGGCCTTCATCAATCGATTGGTGCACTCCATGCATAGACGCTGTGCTGCAGTTATTGCCGCTCGTGGTGGTCACAGTAGATACTGCAGTCAAGAGTCTGAATGGATTGCAAACGTTCACGTAATGTCTTGGAATTGTGCTGAGTTATTCATTGATGTGTCAGTATATTGTACACAAAAACGTTTTTGATTCGCTTATTATGTCCATTTCTGTAATGATTTGATTACAGTGCCTGTAATGTACTCCATATGGGGGTGTTCCTTACACCATGCATGTGCACCAAGACACAACGAGGGAGTAGTGTCAACCTTAGTGTTTAATTCAAGATGGCTAACTGATCCATACATGACGTCATCATCCTCATGCAGATGACGTGTAGATGACGTAATCAAAATAGGATGTACAATAGGGTTGGTGGTACAACTACTTATAGCAAATACACTACAGTGCCCATCTAATTTTGAATTCGTATTGACGTTATTTTTGGGCTGCTGAGTATATTTTAACCGATAACTGGATGTTTTGATTTAATAATTCAGGATTGGATTGACAAATTTTCATCAAAATAGTAGTTTTGGAATGCTCAGATCATGATTTAGAATTTCGGACTATAATACTGCATATGTGCTTATCTCAAAAATATTTTGGTAAGGTCAAAGGTCGACTTAAATAGAAGGTGCTGAGAACAATATGAGTTATACTTAACAAATTAGAGTTTTACTTTTACCAAAACTATATATATTCGGTTCTAATTCAGTTGTATCATTTGAAGATCATATATATGCTTGATTGGCACTGTTTCATGAAAAAAAATTACAAGGGGAAAAAAGTAAAATATTACATAATTTCAGCACCATGCTTTACAAAGTATCAACAATACAAAATATGTCGATGATACTGTTGGACTATCATACAAATTTCCGTTTATTGACAGTCTGGCCGAAACAACAGTTTAGCTGATGTCTGAAAGAGAAATGTGACACTAAGCAGTTTCACATTGGTCAATCTGCAGTGGATCTTTCATCTTCACTCAAGAACTTCGGTGTTCATATTGACTGCAAACTTTCTATGGAAACTCAAGTTTCACAGCTATGTAAATGCTGCTATTTCCATTTGAGAAACATTGGATCCATTCGCCATCTGTTGACACAAGATTCTACCGCATGTCTCATGAGAACTTTTGTCCTCTCTCGCCTAGATTATTGTAACAGTTTATTGTTTGGAGTTTCCAACGAGTTGATCAACAAGTTACAAAAGATTCAGAACATTGCTGCCCGTATTATAACAAGAAGCAAACCATCTTGTCACATATCACCCATTCTCCAATCTCTCCACTGGCTTCACATGCCTGAACGTATCAAATTCAAAACACTGATACTCACTTATCAGGCAATTCACAAAATGGGACCTATCTATCTCTAAGAACTCATGACACTGTCCACTCCCTCCAGAACTCTCAGCTCACATGATCAGTTTCTCCTGTCTATGCCTACTTATAAACTCAAATCGTTTGGTGCCAAGTCCTTTCAGTATGCAGCTGCTACCCTTTGAAACTCTCTGCCTCTTGATCTAAAACTAGTACCAACTCTGCCACTCTTCAAAACACACCTATTTCAACAATATGTTTCATAAATCCATGCATTTTCTTGTACATATGGACTGTGACTTGTCAGCGCTTTGAGCAATGCCTTTGTGAGGTTGAAGTCAGCGCTATATAAATACTCTTATCATGTTTTACAGATTAAAGATGAACATGCAGCAGAGAGGGTTCGGGTGATCCTGGCACAGTCAGGCTGGTAAGGCTCATCATCAGTTCAGGGCCCTCGCCCCCTCTACACGCAGCCCAGAAAGCGAATGGGACTTCTCCCAGGAAACACTGCCTCGTCGAACCCACCAAGAACTTTCCGGAGAATATGAAGGCTCCCACCACTGTACTGCAGCCTTCTGCATTATCCAGAGTGTCAGAAGGGCTGTGCTCCCAGTGGATAACCCGGGCACTCTCCTGAGCTGCGCCAAGAGATCAGGAGGTACCAAACCCGGGGCACCGAGAACAGTGGGGAGCCTGACGACAGTGTACTTGGGATGCAAGCGAGACATTTCAAAGGAGAGCTCCGCATATTTATCATGCTTTTCCTGAATCTTGCCAATCACATTGCTGCCAAAAGGAACAGAAAATTCAATGATATAAAGAAATTCATTGGCTTTATCAAAAAAAACAAGATCAGGTTTGTTGGCAGAAATTCTTCTGAGACTGTACATGGGCCTATTACACAGAAGTTTGAAAGCATCATTTTCCATGAGGCCCTGGACATGTTCAGGGACGTACCATAGATGGACCTCTGAGTCAAAGCCACAGACATGGCCATGCCATAATGTCGTTTAAGATAAGTTGTTTGTGCCAAAGAAGGGCATCCGCTGACAAAGTGTTTGACAGTCTCTGTAAATGCATTACATAGTCGACATTTCATATTGATATTTTCTTTAAGAATCACATTTAGGCGATTACGAGTGGGAAGTGACTGGTCCTGAGCAGCAAAAAGGAAGCCCTTAGTTTCATATTTAAGACCAGCCGACTTCATCCAGGCGAAGGAGTCGGTGGGGTTGCTATTCTGTTCCACACACTGCATGTACACACGATGCAATGACTTCTCAGAAAGCTTCTCCACAGAAGACCTACTCTGGGCAGACTTGGTGAATAACTTAACCTGGTTTACTCCTATCGCTGTACCGTCCAGCAGTACAACACCATCAGCAAAATCAACCTCAAATGTCAGATTCTGTGCCAACAACCTTTGCACGCTTAAAATAGCTGTGGAATTCCTTGCTTTCATCATGAGTCTTGACATGCATCACCAGAGGATCATCCGATAAATAAATATGTGCAAAATTACACAATAAAATTCTATTTATTATTATTATTATTAGAAGGAGATATGTGTCAATATTGTATATTTTGTGTCACTTCACGTTCCATGTGCATTGACATGCTGTAAAACCCTCAAAGCTGATGGATAATAATATGACATCCTAATGGAAGGTCTGTAGGTGACATTATGTTATTATGGTGTGCAAATCCCATCCCATGTTTAAACTGTAAAATATTACGACTTTGATTTTCTTGATGTATTATACCGGCAATCATTAATACACTGTAAAAGATATTACACACTGATGAGAAAGGCATATTGGTATCCTACCACCAAATACTCACATCAAATACCTCTGAAATGACTAATGCTTTCCTTTTGATTGTAATAGGTGATGTAATTTCCGATTCTCTTTTTAATTTTACTACGGTTCGAAATATGAATATTTCCTTTGGTGGAGAAACATTTGTAAATTCATAAATTTTCAAATGTTTTATGGTTAAAAACTTTTGAATCATTCAGGATATCAAGGGTATATTTGGACACTTTTTATATGCTCATGTTACCAGTACTAAAACAAAAAGTGTGTTCACATTGTGTTATTCACATATGCTGAAGCCTTTGAAATCAAGGCTACTACCGATCAGAGTCTCGCTAAGCAAACCATTGTTATGCAAGCGGAGAGGTTTATATTAGTCACCATCTCAATCACTTTGCTACAACCCATTGTCAGTTCCTTCCACAAATGTGAGGTGGAGAAAACAGATGTTACAGGCTTAAATGTTGTCCTTCACATTGGGGTTTGATAGTTGTTTAGGTTATGCAATATGTTACTACTCTCTTCTGGTTTATTGGGTATAAATGACGACAACATTACAATTTGTGACATGTTTTGCATCCTTGCATTATACAATGCATTCAATCAATAGCAACATATCTGTAAAACACGTGTGATCCAAACCTGCTTAAAGCTGCATTACTCACACTTACATACACACAGTGACGTTATACTTTCAAAGTTCTTCCAACTATACTTGTTTTCAAATTGATTTAGTATTTTAAGTAACGCTGCAGGTTATCTGGAGGTCTGGAGACGTATTAACGCATTAACGCCTTGAACAGATACATCCCATCTATTTCCACTACCCCGTGGATAATTGGCGAATATAATCATGCTAATTAAAAGATCGACACAAACACATAGTACATACACTGTGTTGGGATTAGTCTTTCCTTATTCCATATCCAAGCAGATATTCAATATCATAAATACACGCTGATCAGTTTACAATGCAAACATACAAATTTAACCATGGATGTAGTTATGTGGCATTTCACCAATAAGATATCAAGAATAGACCCATCTTCATGTGAAGTGTTTTGCGGAAAGGGTTAGCTCAATCTGCCCTACCTTTAGTACCCATCGCAAATACACCCAAAATCAAGTCAGAGAAGAATCCGGCAGGTTAAGCTACAACAAAAGATACGTCACTTCATTCGCTACTTTTGTGTTAGTCAGAAAATAAACAATTTATCCTGCTTAGATGGATTTCATCTTTAACAGCCCAAACCCATACACATGCAACGGAAACAAACAAACAGACCTAAACGAATACAATAAAAAGGCTACACAGCGTGCAAGTTGACTATTGGATCTTACAACAGTTGCCTAATGTGGGAAGGATTCAGAAATATAAATTTGTTTTTGAAAAACCAATAATCATATCCAGGGCTTGTTTGGATCCATATTTACAGTTTCAGTTTACACTTGGTACGTTATACAAAGCGTAAGTTTCTATTTAGATAGAAATAGATAACTCCGTTTGTACTGAATTAGTTAACAGTGAGCTCGGAGATTCAGAACCAGTGGGAGTCTAGACTTTATTGTGGACTATTGCATTGCACAAAGGGTTAGACAGAAAGTACGGAGTATGAGTCAGACTACTGGCATGTCACATAGTGAATGTGGTTCTTACAAGAAGGCAAACACATTTTTAAAAAACTAATCTAAACTAATAATAGATTTCGTATTTTGGAAAAAAGATGTATAGATCTGGGCAAGCAGCAGGTCACCGCTGGTAACTTCATGATGTTGAAACTATGCAGCTGACTACAGCGGACCTTGCAGAGTTTTTCTTGGTGGGGTCTGTCAATATTCTAGGACTGACGTTGTATTGTTTACGTTCGTGAGCTGTTGAAGATATGGATTCACGGGAGCCAAATCCATGACGCTCAAACATTGGCGATTCATTTACTCTCTGACTGACAACGTAGACATGCGACAAACTGAAATCGGGAAATAAACGACAGTTGGTCCTATAGCGTCCTTCTAGAATCTGGTCACCCAGTACTGTCAATATGTATGTACGATTTCATGGTTTTCTGAGCAAATTCTATTTCTAACGCATCTAACTCGCCTGCCAGCGTCAATACCAACTTATGTGTGTGTATTTGAATAGCTGATAGTGATGTTATGTAACTTGACAATATCTTCTCTGAGGTACGACTTATGCAGAGACCAGTTGATATTGGCGACATACATAACCATTTCCACAGGTTCACAAATATATTAGATCCGTAACACATTCTGGGTCCACACTGAGCTTCAGCAACCTATGTTGTCGTAATAGGGAACTCAGGGTGTCGTTCTCACTTACTTGTTTGATGCAAGCCTTCATATCCCACTTGCGGAGATCATGCTCATAGCGTCATGACCATGTTATGTGTAAGTCTATTGTGTATATCATTAGATAGTACTAAAACTGAGGCCTGCATATTTCATGGACGTTACAGCAGAAGCAAACTGTATATATCAATATTATGTAGGAATATCTTTGACTTGTCCACAAAAGTAGGCATGTTAAGTATTAATAGCAATACGTTTCTGACGAAACAGATCTTCGTCAAATATTCCTCCGTGATACCATGTCAACTGGGAATACACGATGACCGTTAAGAACAACAGATACAGAATCATATGAAGGTCATAACTGACTCATGATTCTTTGATGAGGAAAGAAAGGCATCTGAAATAATAGAATTATACATTTAAGAGCTTTCTATTATTTTGCGTGATTTTATTGATAGTCCAACAGTATCTTCGACATATTTGGTATCGCTGGCTATGTAAAACATGGAGCTGTTACTGTTGAACAGATATTATATAACAGTTTGCCGATTTAAATACAAAGTATCAACTTTGGTTTCCGTGTAATGTTTTTTCAGGCATACAGTGCCAACCAAACTTACATATGATATTTATATGATACAGCTAAATTAGAAAAGAAAATTGGTAAGACTTCCTGTAATTTGCAAATTTTAACTCATATTTTTCTCATCAAATGTACTTTCCGTTAAAATTGATCATGACCTTTGACCTTACCAAACATTTTTGCGATGGGCATATATATAATCTTATTGTCCACAATTTTAAATCATTTATCTGAACATTCCAAAACTACTATTTTGGTAAAAATCGGTCAATCCAATCCCGAGTTATTAAATTAAAGCCTCCATATTAGACTGGAGACTGGGTGATATAGAGCCTATAAGTTGAGCCCTATGTGGACACATTACTGTGTAGAGGGTGAAATACACGTCTTAATCAATTGCCTTGTGTATTTGTGTGCGTTTAGACCTTGAATGTTTGGCTTGTTTTACAATTTTGCACTTTTACCTGATATACAGAAATTCATGTGTTTAATGTCGAATGAAGACATGTGTTTTAACGTTGTCAAACCCCCTATTATATTATATTATATCTCAACGTCAGGCTTTATTGTATCAGTGATGTAATTTTGTATACTCTATATATTTGACGTTTATACTTGCAGATTTTAAAAATATATGCTTCTACAAGAATGGCTTGTGTAGTTACTTGTTCATAATATTGTTGTACATAAGGCGAGACTTAAACTATATGTCTATCTATCTGTATCTATACTACTGGAATATATTAACTGTGCATCAGTTGATGTTATGCCATTTTGTAATGCAAAAATATAACATGATTTTTGGTGTCTTCCTTAATCAGTGCTTCACTGTTGACTGGATAATATCGAAATCTGTATTATTTGACACGTGGCATCGTGACACCCCCTTGAAGAGTTGTGGTGTCAAAATTCAGTTCATAGATTCCTTATCTTGTGTGTCCACCATTAGCGTGGATGCAGGCTTGACAGCGACGACGCATAGACGACAATAAGCGATTGGGGAGTGTTATTCCATGTCTGAAGCAACGCTTGTCCCAATTCAGCTAGCGCCAGTGGCTGATTCTGGGCTTGACGTAAACGTCGCTCCATTCCACCCCAAGCGTACTCGATAGGGGACAGGTCTGGACAAACAGCTGGCCAGGGAGTACAGGAATCTTGAGTACAACTGTCTCAAGAAATCTGTCACAACACGAGCGACATGTGGACGGGCATTGTCTTGCTGAAGCGTGAAGTTACGTCTCTGTCCTTGAATAAAAGGCTGCACATGAGGCCCAATGATTTCATCCCTGTATCGCAGACCTGCCAGATTGCCATTGCCTATGATAAGTAGTGTCCTACCATGAGATGTGAGGCCTCCCCATACCATAACACCCTAGTCACCAAACGGTCGACGCTGAACAACGCACGCGTCAGCATACCGCTCACCTCGCATACTGTACACCCTTGCCCTGTCACCTGAGCTGTCCAGATGAAATCTCGAATCGTCAGTGAAGAAAACACCATCCCAATCTTGTCTTCTGTACCGTAGATGCCGTCAGTCTAAGCAAGGCGTGCCTGTCGGTGGCGTTGGAGCCAAACGGTACCTATTGCAGGGCCCGGATGCTGTGCTCCCTCAGTCGGTTCCGTACAGTCTTTAAACTGATTGGACGTAAGCCAGGAATGGTCTGAGCAGTCAAGCTGGCAGTTATAAATCGATTCCTGAGAATCAACCGAATGTGGTTGTCTTGCTGACGTGACGCCAATTACAAATGTAATAAAGGGAAGTTAGGCTATTAAAGACTTAAGATAATCTGAATCACTTCAGGGAACGCATGTATATATTTATGGACAGAAGACATGAAGTGTATTTCCATAACATTTCTAACATATTCAATCTTGGCTTACATCCAAATGATGAAGTACACTTAGAATCACTGGATTGTTTGGTCCAGACTATTATCTACAGACCGCCGTCCGCTTGAATATTGCTGAGTATAGAATTGAATAAAAACCAAACATAATATACTTGGAAATGAGAGCATTTCCATTAATACTAATACTATTCCAAACGTCAAGAAATCAGTTTTTATATGCCGTGATGTCAATGTAGAATGATTTCCTAAAGTAGTGTCGGAAATAGAAAAAAACTGTATTTTCTCATTTATCTCTACAATTTATGTAGTTGATATGTGCAAGTGTGAAATATCTGTTAAACTAAGTTCGGCCTAACTACAGTCTCAGTGGTAGGGACATAGGAAACGTAGAAAAAGGACTTTACTGAGGAGAGATTAGTGCAGAAATGAGCAATGCGATTTTTTTTCTAAGTCCAAAACGATTTATTTGGAACAGACCATGGCTTTATGCAAATTAGTGTGGGACGATATTGTATTACAAAGGACACTTTTTAAATGCCCAATTTGAAATTAGACGTAGTTTCATTATAAACGATAACTGGCGTTAAAAATAATAACTTTCATGCTGAAACTGTTAAGGATGTAGCTTCCATGGAGTCTCACTGTCACTATAAAAAGAAACAGATAGGAGGGTTCGTCTCAAAAGCAAAACCTGGAGGGGCGTCGCAGACGATCGTTGGTGTCGGGCTGGGGGATAGAGTATCAGCTAAGATAAGATAATCCTTTAGGGCAATCAATAGGTGAGATATAGTCAGCACACATGAAAAAGCACAAAATATCTTTGAGATGCCCCCTTGTGCCTGTAGGCAGCATATGCATTTCATGCCAGGTGAGTCGACGGTCCGTCGTCATACCTGGCTGAGCGACCTTATTGCCATCTATAGTCTGATCTATTGTTTTTTCAGCAGCTATTCGTATTTTTTCTAAGTTTTGCCCGATTTTACGAGTAAACATGCTTTTCTGGATATCCTATTACGCATCCCACTGAACGCTAAGTTACAGTCCGTTTGAGTCAGAAACGGACCGATGAATTGCAAATTTTATCATTGTACAAAATTGCCACATAAATATAAATAGTACACATGTTTATCATTTACTAATACCCAACAGCTTTCTGATATTTGAAAATTTTTCGGACGCCAACAAAAAAATTCTTTAAGAAACTATCATGAAAATTTTGACACAGTTCACTATTTGTTACGAGGGAGGAGTGCAGAGAAAGGGAGAGCCAGGTGTGCGAGAAAGGATGGAGACGGCACAGCACAGGTTAATGAATCAATAACTTGGTGTGCACTTGTGCACGTGCTTCTCTAACACCTGGCCACCATTTATGTGGCAATTTTGTACAATGATAAAATTTGCAATTCATCGGTCCGTTTCTGACTCAAACGGACTGTAGGCCGAAGTGGGTTATTTCGACATATGCTATTTTCAGTTGTGTAAATTTTAGGGATACAGAGTAGCAGCCTAAAAACAGTGTTTTTCTATTTCCGACAGTACTTTAGTTGATTCTTGCTTCACTTTTCACAGAAAATGATTTTCTCTTATCCTCCATTACATGCACAGCCTCTGTTGAAATAACGATGGTTAGTTTAATTGGGTGAAACTTCCACTGCAGGCACTGGGCACATTCGTTGAGTGATCTTTCGTTAAATAATGTTCCGATAATATGATTTAAAACATGACGGCGTACCTTGTCTCATACACCATTAAAGATGAACGTTTGCTTACTGCATGCATTGAGGCTAGGGTCCCAGGCAGTGTATCGTTTGGTAATTCGTAACTATGAGTTTAGATTATATCATGGCCAGAATCTGGTTATAGCATAGCTCATAGCAACATTAAACCCTAATTTTGCAAGACATTTTTTATTTTAATGAATCGCCCGGTGTCATGAAATATGGATGACATGCCTATCGACTGTCACCGTGAATAATACCGTCCTGTAGAGCGGTATGAGTTTCAAGGTGTTGCTGCACAGTGCTTTTCTTCAACACGTGGCCGTCATGCATTGATAATGCGATGTGCCGTTGAGATTGACATCCAATGATCGAGGGAAAAAAATACCAGCGCCGATATGTGCGCTATATAAATATCCTATAATAAATACTAATAAATGCGTACTGCCTGCCTATTTCGCCACTAATTAAGTACAAGACGAGGCAAAACGGTCAATTTTAGTAAAATTCCTGCCAATATTGCCATAGGATATTGCATCTGAATAATATTTGCTATACTGACTGACTGACTGAATTTGGTTTTACGCCGCTTTTAGCAATATTCCAGCAACATCACGGCGGGGGGACACCAGAAATGGGCTTCACAAATTGTACCCATTTGGGGATTCGAACCCGGGTCTTCGGCGTGACGAGCCAACGCTTTAACCACTGGGCTACCCCACCGCCCCAATATTTGCTACAGTATAGCCATGCTTCTACCACAACATTGTGGTGTCGGTATATTGACCCGCTTTAATCGTTGTAGAGGTTGTCAATATTCAATATTCAATATTCTGTCGCCGATACATATTTCTCCTTTGTGACAATATTGCCATTTCTTTGTTCAGTCTTGGCAGGCGGTAGTTTGAAGGTGTCAAATATTTCTTACGTTTTCAATGATATTGAAGGGATGTCCTTACGATATATTGAGTTGCTCAGTTCTTGACGAAGAGCTAGCTTCTAGTTGCAACAACTGATTATTTTCGACACAAATGCAACTTCAACTTCTCATTGACTGACTTCGGCTTATGTATACAAGATTGCTGTTGTTTAAATCTCATGGGACCAAATTTTCTTCTCGAGTCATCGTGTGTATTTATGAGACGAATTCGTGTAACCGGTATTCAAATGATGACAACTATAACAGGGAATGGTCGGGACCGACAGGTACTTCGAGTTATGCATAATATTCGAGACACCGGCATTCGACTCATCGGGATTTGACTGTATATAACCATGTTTTCGTCACATGTGGAGTCATGTTATCGGTATATAGTTGGATGCTTTCAGATCGTGTGTCTTTGGCAAACAGAATTTGATTGAGAAAATTGACATTTTCGTTGGCATTTAAATTGGCCTGCCAACTGTTTTCCTTCATGTTTTGTGTCCGAACAATTTGAGCCGTCTCCGTCCTTTCTCGCACTGTTCCTGTTTGCACTCCTCCATCGTAACAAATAGTGAACTTCGTCAACATTTAAATGATAATTTGTTAAAGAACCTTTTATTTTTAGGACATAAATTCTACAAAACACTCACAGACTTGGTCTGATGTTTTGATTATGATCAGCGTTTCATTGAGTATTATATGTTTATTAGTTTTCGAGTCAGATTGCAGTTCATCGTAAGCTTTTCAGCCAAACGGACCGTAATTACTCATTCTCAGTCAGCGTGGAAATCGGATTTTTTTTTATCTGAACACAATTTCTTCGATATGACAACGACAAGTACTATTTCCTTGCCCTATGTACAAAATGATAGGATACAATATCTTATGGTTTGTGAATAAATATAGTTGGATGCTTTCACATCGTGTGTCTTTGGCAAACAGAATTTGATTGAGAAAATTGACATTTTCGTTGGCATTTAAATTGGCCTGCCAACTGTTTTCCTTCATGTTTTGTGTCCGAACAATTTGAGCCGTCTCCGTCCTTTCTCGCACTGTTCCTGTTTGCACTCCTCCATCGTAACAAATAGTGAACTTCGTCAACATTTAAATGATAATTTGTTAAAGAACCTTTTATTTTTAGGACATAAATTCTACAAAACACTCACAGACTTGGTCTGATGTTTTGATTATGATCAGCGTTTCATTGAGTATTATATGTTTAGTAGTTTTCGAGTCAGATTGCAGTTCATCGTAAGCTTTTCAGCCAAACGGACCGTAATTACTCATTCTCAGTCAGCGTGGAAATCGGATTTTTTTTATCTGAACACAATTTCTTCGATATGACAACGACAAGTACTATTTCCTTGCCCTATGTACAAAATGATAGGATACAATATCTTATGGTTTGTGAATAAACGGCAGTTACTAGAAGTGGGGGTATTTTCCAGTGTATTTTATGTCACACAAAATAATTTACTGTTAGATACATGTAAAACTATAGTACAGCTTGTTTTAACTGTTTGCTAAAATCCTTTTACAAACTAACGTTAATTTCAACACAAATAAATCAAAAGAGTAATCGGATGTTATATAGAAATTGACCATTATATTGACAATTGGTGAAACTTCAAACAAGAATTTCCAAGTAGATTCTCTAGTTCATCTGAAGTAATATCGAATGCCTTACACTGGCATTTCTATATTTATACACAACGTCAAGGAGTTATGCGACCTGGAAATATATATATTTGGGCCATAGTTATTATCAAATGTATCACTGTATGGTAATACACTGAATTGTAATAATTTAATTGGTTTTAAAAAAATACCAAACAATAAAAGTGCATATTTAGTGATATTTACTGGAATAAAATAATGATAAACTAATGACTGCTCCCTTGCGAAAGACAAATCTGGATTATCTGCCACACTTGCCTTTGAGTCTAATAACTTAAAGATTTTATTGTTAAACATATCCAAAAACTTTAACTTATGAATTATTGTCCTGGAGTTCTTTTGCCAGGTATTGCGTGCATGTTCAGTCAGTATTGATCAGATGAAACAATAACATACTTATCTTTTGTCATGGAGCTCAATATTCAAAAAGCTGTCTGCTATCTGCCATTTTGGATGGAAGGAGCATTTAAAATTTGGGGATGTTTTTAATGAATGTAAATTAACCATTTCTCTTCTTTTTCCTGCACATGCAAACAATTGATTGTGAAATTATTGGTTTGTAATGATTGCCTATGCTGACCATGTAAGAGGAAACATTGAAAACAGTACGACATTTTTGTCTACTAGACATGCGCACACAGACATAAAAATATGTGCCTCCATATCTTAAATTATTTCAGAAATGTTCTTAAGAATGATGACCAACGTTTGTGCTTTTATCATTAAATGCACATTTTTAATTGAAACTTCACTGCAACCCTCACACAGCATGCACAGTCCTAAAGAAAATAAAATGCCCGATGCTCACCCATAGACCCAATGTATGAACCTTTTCAACAGATATTATGTGTGGGTCAAGAATCCCCTTTAAATTATAGGTGCTCAGTCATGAGTATCACTTCACCACGTGTTTCTAATGATCTTAGAACATTATGGCGTGGTCGGAGGCGCTAACGAACGCGACGTTACAGTGATATTACCGAACCATTGAAATACATGTTAAATTAGTGTCAGTGTTGTAACACTCCATTTGCCCAATGCCAATATTAATACACGTGTATCAAATATATCCCAAACCTAACCCTGGCCATGTTTTACACTACTTCCTGATGACGTTTCCTACACTTCCAGCAAATGTGTGCTGTGTTAACAGTGTGCTAGTGTACATGACACCTAATCTTTTTTTAATGTAAAATATATTATATCTGTTTACGACATAGATACGAACTCTTACACCAACTACGTCAATAATATCTACTCGATCTTCAACTGGTTGCAAATAGGTTGTAAATAACTTTTATTTAAGGATGGATATTCCTGCTTTGAATGATCAGTGTGCAGATCATGTCAGCAACATCAAACCTGAAAGATATTAGTTGACAAAACATTGTACAATCTGTAATGTTTAATGAATGTACTAATGTATATTTCTTTAACAGTATCAAGGGTCGATGAGAAACGCTCGTGGTTAAAGCGTTCGCTCGTCAGGTCGAAGGTCGGTGTTCGATTCCCGGCTCGGGCACAATTAGACTAACGTCCAGGCTCCAAAAATATGTAATTTCATTTAAATTGAAAAGAAAGACCCAATGATTTGGAATTGACATTTGGCACTTGGCAACTGTGATGTCATATTGGCTGTCATAATTGGACTTCATATTAGTATAACTGAACCTATTTCTGAATTTATTTACAGGTTCGCCCACCGTACTCATGAGTGAGTGGGAGAGTTAAGTTTTACACCGCTTTAGCCATATTTCAGCAATATCACGGCGGGGAACACCAGAAATGGGCTTCACCCATTGCACCCATGTGGGAATCAAACCCGGGTATTCGGCGTGACGAGCGCACGCCTTAACCACTTGGCTACCCCACCACCCGAAATGCATTATGAGGTAAAGAAGAACAATGTGAATGTCCGGTAAACTCTGCTAATGTCGGGTGGACGGTCGGGCCACCCGTACCCCGTCCATAAAGATCGAGCGTTCATTAAACAAGGCTGTCGATAGTTAAGAAATCGACGTTCTTGGAAAACTGTTGGCAACTGATTCTGTTGAACAAAGGACATAGGAAACTTTTGCACCATGGTGGTCAGCGTTATTAAATGGTAGGCATACTTAGAACACTATAAACAGACGTTAAAATATAGTACTTGTTGGTCCCTGCCTGGCGCTCGGCATTCATGGGTACAACAAGACTCGGCATTATACAGTGGGTACAACAAGGACTGGTCGGCTCGGAGTCAGTATACTGTGTCTGAGTGGGGCTATTCATGCTTCACTGCCATTTTGGATGGAAGGAGCATTTAAAATTTGGGACATAAAAATATGTGCCTCCATATCTTAAATTATTTCAGAAATGTTCTTAAGAATGATGACCAACTTTTGTGCTTTTATCATTAAATGCACATTTTTAATGGAAACTTCACTACAACCCTCACACAGCATGCAAAGTCGTAAAGAAAATAAAATGCCCGATGCACACCCATAGACCAAATGTATGAACCTTTTCAACAGATATTATGTGTGGATCAAGAATCCCCTTTAAATTATAGGTGCTCAGTCATGGGTATCACTTCACCACGTGTTTCTAATGATCTTAGAACATTATGGCGTGGTCGGAGGCGCTAACGAACCCAACGTTACAGTGATATTACCGAACCATTGAAATACATGTTAAATTAGTGTCAGTGTTGTAACACTCCATTTGTCCAATGCCACACGTGTATCAAATATATCCCAAACCTAACCCTGGCCATGTATTACACTACTTCCTGATGACGTTTCCTACACTTGCAGCAAATGTGTGCTGTGTTAACAGTGTACTAGTGTACATGACACTTAATCTTTTTTTAATGTAAAATATACTGTATTATATCTGTTTACGACATAGATACGAACTCTTACACCAACTACGTCAATAATATCTACTCGATCTTCAACTGGTTGCAAATAGGTTCTAAATAACTTTTATTTAAGGATGGATATTCCTGCTTTGAATGATCAGTGTGCAGATCATGTCAGCAACATCAAACCTGAAAGATATTAGTTGACAAAACATTGTACAATCTGTAATGTTTAATGAATGTACTAATGTATATTTCTTTAACAGTATCAAGGGCCGATGAGATACGCTCGTGGTTAAAGCGTTCGCTCGTCAGGTCGAAGGTCGGTGTTCGATTCCCGGCTTGGGCACAATTAGACTAACGTCCAGGCTCCAAAAATATGTAATTTCATTTAAATTGAAAAGAAAGACCCAATGATTTGGAAGAATCAAAGACTAGCGACATCTTCATTGGGACGACAGGTGCTGGAGTCATCATCCATTAAACAATCACATTCCGCAAACATCAGATAAAGGTTTACATGACAGGCGCAGTTATGGGCATCTTGCAAAACTCTGTCCTCTCTCTACACACAGTCTGTGGTCACCACCATAGGTGGCCAAATTCAGCATTACTCCTTTCAGTGTTTTCTCACATACATACATTGAAATTCATGTTGGGGAATGTGTAGTGAAGAGAACACGTACAATATGTCTGAGTACAATATGTCTGAGTGCAATATGTCTGAGTGCAATATGTCTGAGTCAGCTTTACACCGTCATGTGTATGGTACAGGATTCATGCACCTTACATTTAACAATCACTTATCACTTAGTGCAACCAAAGCATTACTAAAGGCCATATTTCAAGACATATAGCAGCACCTTTGACTGGAGTTTCTAAATATTTGACGCCAAAAGCCATTGTGAGTTTACTCAAAAGAAATATACTTTATGTTTTACGATGAATCCTTAATCATAGTCACAATGAAGCATAAGTTGCAATGTGTTTTCGAATAAGTTAGGTCCCATCCTTAATAGGATTGAGGCAGTTGAAAAACCAATGTTTACTCAATACATCTTTAACTAGTCTTTCACCAAGCAGTGTCCTAAAGCCATATATAGCTAGCCTTGCTTAGACTGTAGACTGCACACAAGGCAGCATGCATATATTACAGGACGCCTACCCTCACCTGCTTATTGCCTCACCACTTGCGAATTCAGAGTTGGCAGATGGGTGAGTGAGTTTAGTTTTATGCCGCACTCAGCAATATTCCAGCTATATGGCGGCGGTCTGTAAATAATCGAATCTGGACAGAACAATCCAGTGATCAACAGCATGAGCATCGATCTACGCAATTGGGATACGATGGCATGTATCAACCATGTCAGCAAGCCTGACCACCTGATCCTGTTAGTCGCCTCTTACGACAAGCATTAGTTACTGAAGATCAATTCTAACCCGGATCTTCACGGGTAGTTGGCAGATGAAGATGAAGATATATGGTATGTCTGTAACCCAAACCCTGCAGTGAGTTCCCCTGTAGATGATAACAGACCCTGAAGCTGGGGAAATCTTGACGTGCTTCATTTAATGCGTTAGCACTACAGTAAGGCTATTTCTCTCTATATTTCTCCTGTACCAAACGTAACAACACATAGCAATAATACTGTTGAGAGTGAGACACGCTGTACGTTACATGGCCGAGATGTGTTTATGCAATAATTATTGCAACATACATTCGCCACATACGTCTTGAGTTATTTGATCACAATCATCTTGCTGTTTCCCACCACATAAAATCAGAGGAAAGCAACTCTCTTGGAGAAAAAATAATCTAAAACCGTTTTCCCCCAACGACAGCAAACAGCCACTACCGGAGGGTTTACAGTATACATGCGATCTAATGCACACATCCATAGGCACGTTAGTCTATGGTCTATATCCAGGACACTGAACACTATAATACTGGGTCATTAGACTTAGTGTACAAGCAAACACAACACAAGCAAACACATTGTAACTGAGCAACGTACATCATCGTATGACTGCACATATAGCAGCTTACAATAGTATGATAACGGCTCTTCGCCCCAGAGCAATATACACCATCGTATGACTGCACATATAGCAGCTTACAATAGTATTATAACGGCTCTTCAGCCAAAGGCAACGTACACCGTCGTATGACTGCACATATATCAGTTTACAATAGTATTATTACGGCTCTTCGCCCCATAGCAATATACACCATCGTATGACTGCACATATAGCAGCTTACAATAGTATTATAACGGCTCTTTAGCCCAGAGCAATATACACCATCGTATGACTGCACATATAGCAGCTTACAATAGTATAACGTCTCTTCGCCCCAGAGCAACGTACATCCTCGTATGACTGCACACATAGTAGCTTACAATAGTATTATTACGGCTCTTCGCCCCAGAGCAATATACACCATCGTATGACTGCACATATAGCAGCTTACAATAGTATTATAACGGCTCTTTAGCCCAGAGCAACGTACACCATCGTATGACTGCACATATAGCAGCTTACAATAGTATTATAACGGCCCTTCAGCCAAAGGCAACGTACACCTTCGTATGACTGCACATATAGCAGCTTACAATAGTATTATTACGGCTCTTCGCCCCAGAGCAATATACACCATCGTATGACTGCACATATAGCAGCTTACAATAGTATAATAACGGCTCTTCGCCCCAGAGCAACGTACATCCTCGTATGACTGCACACATAGCAGCTTACAATAGTATTATGACGACTCTTCGCCCCACAGCAATATACATCCTCATGACCACACAATAGTAGCATGACGGCTCTTCGCTCACAGAGCACTACATCCTCATGCACTAGCTCTGTTACAACAACACAATATTTAAGAGAGATTTTAATCCGTCCCCACTTTCACAAATCTGAAACATACAAACAAAATGTTAAAAAAATACGGAAATGATAAGCTGTGCATATAAAAAGCTCAACACTACTAGGAGAAAGTAATTTCCTTCCTATCCATCCTTCAAACGAAAGAAAACACAAAGTTATGAGACTGTGACACAGACTTGGCCTTACAAAAACCGGATTACACAGAGTCCGGATTTGACAGATCCCACTGTATGTGGAAAAGTCCTTCAAACCGATTGGTCGTCAGCTGAACATTCATCACTCTATCACTAGCAGACTTGTGAGAAAATTCATCGCCATCGACCATGTGAGGAATCAGCCAAGGCCAGGCCGACCCACGAGGACTACCAGAGTGGAAGATAATGCCCTGGCACGTCTTGTGCGACGTCAATCCTTCACCACAAGTGGCGTATTGAAAACGCTTTGGCTTCAAAACAGAACTGTGAGCAACAGAACAGTGAGAAACCGCTTCAACTCGATCGGCATGAGGGCACGACGGGTAATTAAGGGTCCTGCACTAACTAATCTCCATAAAGAGTCCGTTTGGATTGGTGTTGGGCCGACGTCAGTGGAATTTGACGTCATGGAGGAAGGTCCATTGGTCGGACGAGAGCCACTTCCTGCTACACGTCAGAGATGGCCGTAAACGTGTTTGGAGGACCAAAAACACTGCGAATGTGCCAAGAAATGCAGGCTTCAGTTCCGTTTGGTTTGTCAGTTAACGTCTGGGGATGCCCTTTCCAAGACTAAGTTGGATCTTGTTGGTTCGGGGGAATCTCAATGGCGATCGCTACATCCGGGACATCATTGACCCCGTCCTTGTACCTCATGTTGACAATCATGCTATAGCTACTCGTCCTTTATTCATGGATGACAACGCTCGGCCTCACCGTTCCCGTGCTGTGAAGGAGTAACTTCAGAACAACGCCATCACCCAACTCCTCTTGCCTGCTATGAGTCCAGAAATAAATCCTTTAGAACATGTCTGGGACATTATTAGACGTCGAATCCCAAAACTGGAGCCTCTTGCTGGTTTAGAGGCTGCATTGCATCGTGAGTGGCATCAGAGGCCGCTGGAACGACTTCGACGACTCACTGGAGGCACGAGGAGAAGGGTCGACGCCGTCATCCGGGCTCGTGGCGGGTACATCGCTACTGACATTTTGTTGGTGATTTGTCTTCTTGATACCTCACAGAACACTTTCTGCCAGAATGAACTTATCTGTGCCTTTGTCGATCTCCACAGCACCAATATCGTGGGACAATTTTGCTGAAATTCCCTCTTCAGAATCACATGTCTGAAAAGAAATAATACATGTTATCACCTTTTACCATTGTGTGTTATTCATAACTCAATAAGTTCAACTTTCATGATAGAGTAGTGTTGGACCCATTCCTGACTTGACACGATGGCAGTTATACATCACATATCCAAAGTTGGCAAAATCGGATGTCGCTTAATTAATGTCCATGTGTATATATAGAAACTGTTTGCCTTACCTGTAACAACGACGTCCACAACTTTATGGATGAATTAAACAATTCTTGAATTGGCAGATGTTTCTTGTGTTCCAAGCAATATCGTCAAGGTTTGCAGGAAGTGCAGACTACATACTTCACAAACGTATCTTGGAGATAGTGTGTACGCTGACGATGGAATCAGATTTACCAGTATTGACAGAGCATAAAATGTCGACCGCAAATAGTTAACAAGCACCGGACGAATGTCAGGACAGCGATAAAATCATCTCTTATGTTGAAGAGTACACTCTACTAACTTAAGGAAACAAAAACCCGTTAAGATAATGCATTCATGTCGGAATCAATACTTGGGGCACATATCAGATTTGAACTTGAAGCTGTGTATGCTGTCGAACAACAGCAGCATTGAGAATAGTATGTCACTGTGAATCTCCTATGAAAGCGAACATCAAAAGGACAAACCGAACTAAGAGACCGAATGAATAAAATAACTGCATCTAGGGGATCATAGGAATGGGATTACTACATGACTACACTGTCTGGCATAAAACAACATTCCTTCACAGTAGTTTTATCTAGAGTAAATGTCTAATATTTCCTTAAACGGTGCCAATTCCTGAGCTCTCACCCATTTACATATTGGGAGAGTATTTTGTCATTCTCAGATTTGAGTTCTGTGTTTGTATTCAGGTTCAGGCTTTGAGAACCCGTCCTATTTTGATGAGCGTATGTCGGCGACGCTTCCTCGACATGGCATTCCATCGATGACAGCAGACCAGGTGTATTCAGAGGTGAGAAGAGTTGTAACTGTCACTTGACACGTTCATGTATCATGTACACCTACTTCTTGTAAATTCTTCCAATTACATAAAGTTAAATCTAAACTTACAAGATTTTTAAAAAAGTAGTATTTTTGTTCTTTTAAATTATGGCTAAATATTTCCAACTATCGCCAGCGGCTGATGGGATGGTGTAAATCCAACTAAGGTCAATGCAGATAGGAAAGGCACTGTACGTCCCCATGGTCCCTAGTATGATGATCTACCTTTCGTTGTTGGCGATCTACAGCCTATGTTTATATTGTATTGTCTTCGTAGATAAAACATTTTACATATAATAGCTAGTTTTATACACCATATATGATACTCTAGATATTTTAAAGTCCTTCGATGACTGATTATTTAACAGCTTATATTTATTGTGTATGTAAAACCTTTCTTGTTACTGTATGGCTGAAATATTGCCGAGGTGACGTTAATATAACTCAGTCCTTCGGTGATTCTAGGTGAGACTGGTTGGTTGGCTGTTGTTTAACGTTGCACTCAGTAATATTCCATCTATATGGCGGCCGTCTGTAATTGGATCCGACCAGACAATCCAGTGATCAACAGCTTGAACATCGATCGCAATATGCAGGATAAAGGAAGAGTTGAGTCTTTAAAACATAACTTACAGGTTTCCATGAAAACTGCACAAAACCATTTTTCCTGAAACAACGGATAACTGTTTTGCACGTTGTTCGACTGACATTGTATTGAGGTAATTAACATGGGTGCAGTGGGGGCAGAGCGCGATATTAATTAACATTTCCTTTGAGCTCTCATAAACTGCCTTTTTTATCCGCTGTGTGTGTATTGCTGGCTGTTAGCCAGACTGTGTGTGTCGTGTGAAAGATTCAGAAATACGTCTGAATGTTTAATTCGAGTACAAAAAGTTCCATATAAGGAGCATAAATGGCGTACGGTCGTCAGGATACAAAGGTGACGTAGATATTTGAACCACAACTCTCCAAGTTCAAAGGAGACTCATATGAAAGGTAAGACACTGCATGAGTGCGCCCGACAGCCTTTATATTTTGATGAGACTGTAGATATCACGTGACGTCAACCAGGAAGCTAGACAGGGCCGTGTTGTTCGTTACACACACAGGAAAAGCGGGTAGGAGTAGATTTACACCGAATATTTTAGAGAAATGAACCTGTTGATGGTCATTTACATTTCTAGATGCAGTAATTATATTCAACCTGTCTCTTGGTTCGGTTTGTGAAATAGAGGCAAGGTTTGTAAACCGGAACTTGAAGTCGTTATTATCTCCCTTTGATGTTCGCTTTCATAGGAGATTCACAGTGACATACTATTCTCAATGCTGTTGTAGCTCGACAGCATACACAGCTCTATTTCAAACTACAAAGCGGTGGATTAAACAATTAAATGACCAGATAATCCAGTGATTGCTCTTCAGTTCCGTTACAATAACCATTCAACCGAGATACCTTGGCGGAACACACTATCCTTAAACTCGTAACAGAAGTGATCAGTGATATTAACAGCTGAAACATGACGGGCGGTAGTAAGATTTGTTTGTTTGTTGTTCTTTGGGGACGGTGCTGTTCTCTCAAATCCTGCCATGGAGCACCTGGTTGATCTCTCCGATCCTTTCCTTGAGTACACTGTATGTCTCTCAGATTCTTCCTTGAGTACAGTGATGGTCTCAGGGCTCATTTCCTTGAGTACACTGTATGTCTCTCAGATTCTTCCTTGAGTACAGTGATGGTCTCAGGGCTCATTTCCTTGAGTACACTGTTTGTCTCTCAGATTCTTCCTTGAGTACAGTGATGGTCTCAGGGCTCATTTCCTTGAGTACACTGTTTGTCTCTCAGATCCTTTCCTTGAGTACAGTGATGGTCTCAGGGATCCTTTCCTTGAGTACACTGTTTGTCTCTCAGATTCTTCCTTGAGTACAGTGATGGTCTCAGGGATCATTTCCTTGGGTACACTGTTTGTCTCTCAGATTCTTCCTTGAGTACAGTGATGGTCTCAGGGCTCATTTCCTTGGGTACACTGTTTGTCTCTCAGATTCTTCCTTGAGTACAGTGATGGTCTCAGGGATCCTTTCCTTGGGTACACTGTTTGTCTCTCAGATTCTTTCCTTGAGTACACTGTTTGTCTCTCAGATCCTTTCCGTGGGTACACTGTTTGTCTCTCAGATCCTTTCCTTGAGCACACGGTTGGTTTCTCAGATCCTTTCATTGAACTCGCTGTGATTCTTTCAGATCCTTTCCTTGAGCACATTGTACGTCCCTCAGATACTTCCCTTGAGCACACTGTTAGTCTCTCAGATCCTTTCCTTGAGCACATTATTGGTGTGTCAAATCCTTTCCCTGAGATCATTGTAGGACACTTAGGTCCTTTCCTTGCGCACATGGCTGATCTATCAGATCCTTTTATTGAGCACATTGTTGGTCTCTTCGATCTTTTCCTTGAGCACACCGTTGGTCTCTCGGACCCATTCCTTGCAGACTGGTCTCCTTGGTCCATTCTTTGGGTGTACTGCTCGTCTTTGAGATCCATTCCTTGAGTGTGCTGCTCTTCTCTCAGATGCTGTCAAACAAAGGATCACAATTAGGAAGAATCCGGGATCCGACCCTAAGATCAGGAGATCCTGAGCCATATAGAAGCACTTTGAGTTGGTCAACAGGTTTAAGTGTTTTCACATCAGTTACAGTTTTCAGTATAACTCCGTGACGATACAGTGTGATTAAATTTTGTTTTGTTTTTCAGACACATCATGACAACTGAGGTTGAAAATTGGCAAAGTGGGAAACCCTTCCCAGAAACCAACCTGCACATGTTGGAGAGTTCGTTGTTGGCTGATGTGACCTTCCTCGTTGGGGAACAAAGGGAGACAATCCAGGCTCATAAATTCATTTTAGTCAGCCGCAGTTCCGTGTTTCACGCAATGTTTTGTGGATCGATCCCCGAGACCGGTGAGGTACTCATTCCTGATATACAGAAAGACAACTTCAAGACCTTCCTAAGGTTAGTTGAGATCCTTTGTTTAAACATGTCAAACAAACCGCTACAGGAGGATAGAATTTGCACACACGACAATTTAGATTAAGAAAGGTAGAATGATTTATGGATGACAAATTCTTTAGTATATTATGATGCGACATTTCGGTATAGCTTCTTATACCGTGTTGTCACTCTGGTATAAGAATGTATGCCGAAATGTATGATAAAGAAACGCATAAAAGTATGATAAAGGACTTGTCATCCATAAAGCATTCTACTTTTCTCATTACATATATACCTCTAAATTGCCAAATAAAATTTTTAGATTGATGGGTTGACAGGAAGATATTATTACGTATAAGTTTCTTCACATAAGCTTATACCGTTGTCTTTTATTTGTACTTCTATGTTTTCGGTTATTGACACTCGAGTGTAACTAACCCGTGAAGGTCCGGGATAGAATTGATCTTCAGTAACCCATGCTTGTCGTAAGAGGCGACTAACGGGATCGGGTGGTAAGGCTCGCTGGCTTTGTTGACACATGTCATCGGTTCCCAATTGCGCAGATCGATGCTCATGCTGTTGATCACTGGGTTGTCTGGTTCCGACTCGATTATTTACCGACCGCCGCCATATAGCTGGAATATTACTGAGTGTGGCGTAAAACTAAACTCACTCACTCACTCGAGTGTAACTCTTTTCAGAACGTAACAATGTAACATTTGATCACTAGGTATCTCTACACAGGGGAGGTAGCGTTAACTCCCAACGCTGTTCTTGACCTGATGTACGCTGCGAGGAAGTACAACATCACAGAACTGGAAAAGCAGTGTGAGGAGTTCTGCTTACAGTCTTTGTCGCCTAGCAACGCATGTGTATTTCTCCAACAAGCAGATGTGTTTGATACAGAAGACCTCAAAGAAAGAGCTCTTGAAGTAATTAAATCTAATGCAAAAGTGAGTGTTTCCAGCGAGGGGTTTTGTGATCTAAGTAAGAAATGTCTAACGCTTATCCTGAAGGCAGATGACATGACAGTTGACGAGATTTGCATCTTCCGATCTGTGATGTCGTGGGCGGAAGCTGAATGCACACGCCAGGGAAGGGAGGTAACTCCGAAAGAGAAAAGAGAAGTACTAGGAGAGTGTTTGTACTTTATTCGCTTTCCGGCTATTTCAGAAGTTACATTTGCCACAACCGTCTGCGATGAAGGTATCTTAAGTGACGCCCATGTCATAATGTTGTTACGAAAATACTTTATAACGGACCTGGATATACGGCCGTTCTGTGACACACCTCGGACACCAGTCTATACCCTGTCTCGCTTACCTCCTGACCAAAAGTATCAACGAACTATAAACTTTGCTAAATGTCGACGTGATGCATTATTCATATCCTGTGACGCCAGAGTTCGCCTGACCGGGCTGAGCATGTATGCTGGGGAGAACGCGGACAATGTGTCTGTTGACGTAGTTGTTACTGACAATGACGGCACAACCCTGCTGCAGCATCACTACGACGTGGAGGTGAAAGATGAACAACTCGCAGATGTAGTGACGTTTCCGTCACCACTGACTGTTACCAAAGGACAGAAGCTAAAAATAAAAGTCACTAGGACGGGAAAGACACGTGATGTATACACGTGTAAAATGAACAGTCAGCGACTGTGCCGTGAAACATCTGGTGTGGTGTGGACTCTTGAGCACAGCCGGGAGAGTGACTCTAAGAACAGCTTAGATTTCGGATTCATTACTGGGTTGATCTACGAAGCGTAGTGTATATACCCCGTTACCCTGATCTGTATGACGTGATTACGTTGACAGAAGGACAACTCTCCTACCAACACTTGCGTCTCTGTATATAAGTGACGAATGTAGGAACATGTCCTGGGAACAACCACATATTTCAGATCTGATGGGTCGAGACTACTTTACGGATCATGACAGTTGTTGTCTCTGAAGTCTTGTCACTCCGTTAATGACCATATTAAGACCAGGGCCTAGATTTTCGAAGCTTTCTTAGCGCTAAGATAGTCATAAGTGCCATACATTAACATTAACTTACGACTATCTTCGCGCTAAGAGAGCTTCGAAAATCCAGGCCCAGGGCCCCGTTTCTCAAAGCTACGTAGCGCTACGACTGTCGTAGGTCTGTGTTACAGTATAGGAGGTACGACAGTCGTAGCGCTACGATAGCTTTGTGAAACGGGGCCCAGGATATTTTTGTAACGAACCTACTACCAACTTTAGGTATGTATGTATTATATAGCAGCTTATAATGCAAAACAATGATGTTGGCCTATTTCTCATAGTCTTAGGAATGTTAATTAGTGATTCATTATCAAGCACTGTGGCCAGGTCAAAGCCCAACTCGATGACATACATTCGTTTCCAAGTTTCTGATACAATTAAGTGCACCACCTAACAGTGTCTGAGAGTTTATACAGTTACGGCAAGGAATACAGACACTACCAGCAGAAGCCCAGGCAGATTTCTTTCAGGAAGGGGAATTCTTCCAGTGACGATTTATATAACCTCATGGAATTAGTAAGGCAAAGAATACACAATTTGCGTTGATAACGACTTTGGCAACAACAATATTTTAATGTTAAAACAACTTTCTTTTCATGTAAATCTGGAGTTACACTAGGAAAAGACCTACCGCCTGTTTTCTTTGCAATATTTTAAATGATCTAGAAGTGGCACTTGTACAGGATTCATGTAAAGGTGTCCAATGGAAACCAGATGAATTTTGCGAACGAATCGTATTTGTCGTTGTTGTTTTTGCATTCGTATTTCGGCTATTTCAGAAGTTAAATTCTCCAGAACTGTCTGCAATGAAGGTATTTACAGTTTAACCCATGTCGTGATCCTATTCTGAAAACACTTTCTAGAGACTTGGACAGAGGCCGTTCTGTGACAGATCTCGTAAATCTGTACCACCAGACTGTTTCACTTTGATGGTTGAAGGCCACCTACCCACCAGAAGAAATAGCATGCTAAGATAATAACACGTGTGTATGAAGTACTTTTACGTTGATATTGGCAACATAACTTTTTATTATCAAGATCAAGATCAAGATCAAGATCAAGATCAAGATGATAATAAAGGCAACATAACTTAAACTCATAAATTTGTGTTTGCTGTATATAATTAATGGTGTTAAGCATCAAATGTTGACCTATTTCTCAAGTCTTCAGATTAACTAGCGCTTCATTATCAAGTACTGTTGCCTTCCCGCCAGGACCAATGGCCAGGACAAGGGTTGACTCGATTTGTTTCAAATAATTGCATCAAATAATACAATTTGAATGCCGATATATTCAGTAGCTGAGGATGATGGTGTAAACAGGCCAACATTATGCATATGAAAGGTATAAATTTAGACAATTACACAATGTACACAAATACAGGGTCGTGTTGCAACATATGGCCTTGACAACACGCACACTTACTGGAATCCTTATAATTTAATGGCCGGCGATGTAGCCAAGTGGTTAAAGCATTCGCTCGTCACGCTGAAGACCCGGGTTCGATTCACGACATGGGTACACTGTGGTGTTCCCCAAGGTAATATTGCTGGAGTATTGCTACAAAAATAAACTCACTCACACCATTTTAACTGCACTGTGCATATCTGTACATGTAGTATGGCAAGGCAATCAGCCTGAAAACAAATGAGTCATTTTGTGACAACACAACCATACAACAAATTGCCTTAAAAACTGATCAAGAATTGCTGTTTTTGTTTTCCTTTGTTGTTGTAATTGTCAGACAATACTCGTGTAGCTAGGGACATTTTGGAACAAATATAACAAATCGACAGTTATTTCACACTTTGGGGGATCCAGCTGGGCCCCGTTCCACAAAGCGATCGTAGCGCTAAGATGATCGTAACTCCCATACTTTAACATAGACTTACGACAGTCGTAGCGCTACGATCGCTTTGAGGAACGAGGCCCGGGAGAGCTTGACATTTGGCACTTGGCAACTGTGATGTCATATTGGCTGTCATAATTGGACTTCATATTAGTATAAATGAACCTATTTCTGAATTTATTCACAGGTTCGCCCACCGTACTCATGAGTGAGTGGGAGACTTAAGTTTTACACCGCTTTAGCCATATTTCAGCAATATCATGGTGGGGGACACCAGAAATGGGCTTCACCCATTGCACCCATGTGGGAATCAAACCCGGGTATTCGGCGTGACGAGCGCACGCCTTAACCACTTGGCTACCCCACCTTCCGAAATGCATTATGAGGTAAAGAAGAACAATGTGAATGTCCGGTAAACTCTGCTAATGTCGGGTTGACGGTCGGGCCACCCGTACCCCGTCCATAAAGATCAAGCGTTCATTAAACAAGGCTGTCGATAGTTAAGAAATCGACGTTCTTGGAAAACTGTTGGCAACTGATTCTGTTGAACAAAGGACATAGGAAACTTTTGCACCATGGTGGTCAGCGTTATTAAATGGTAGGCATACTTAGAACACTATAAAAAGACCTTAAAATATAGTACTTGTTGGTCCCTACCTGGCGCTCGGCATTAATGGGTACAGGGACTGGTCGGCTCGGAGTCAGTATACTGTGTCTGAGTGGGGTATTCATGCTTCACTGTGGCATGGTATCTCAGTGAGCTAGCACTATAAAACCAGCTTAAGTCTGGGCTAGTACAAGCAGCCGCACATACACATACACACGCATGCACGTCGTCATATGAGCGAAATATTCTCCAGCGCGACGTTAAACCCAATTTCACCTCACCTCACCTTAGAACACTGTACGATATTGCGCTATTGTCTGTCTGAAGCTGGTCCATAAAGGTTCTTGCAACGGGTTGTTACTATGGATGAAGGCTGTGGAGACATTTGACGTCAACACCTTAAAAAGGCAGACTGTACATTTAGCGTGGAAGATATATGACCTTCCTGTTGTGGGATGCTGAGCAGGATATATACTGTTTCACTACTGGGGCAATACCCAGATGAAATTAAGACAAAGAGCTGTGGGAAGATGAAACTCGAAGCTGGGACAAGTCGAACTGAAGACTTGTAATACAGAGTCTATGTTGAGAATATATGAAAGAGAGTTTTACTTTGAGCAACGTGTTTGCTTTAAATACTGTGCTTTGAGACTCATTAAAGGGGTATGTTCTATTAAAACCCCACTTCAGGATACATTTGTGAGGTTAAATGTTTTTTTGACAGTCGGACCGAACACTTTTGAGACTAAGATGGTTTCGCTTTGCTTAGATGAGGATGTGACAACAAAGTACAAGAATCTGTACTTTACTGAGAAAGTATAATCCCAAATATAACATGTGTTACATTTGACTACTTTCTAAAAGACATTGTTGTGTATTCAACTTTGCCATATCGTACAAAACACAAAATTGAGTTTAATCAGATAGGTAATTTTCACATATAAACATGATGAAAAGTTACGCAATAAAAAAACTTTTAGGTAGATATAATTCTATACCATATATGCAACCATATTTGAAGAGGCATCTGTGAGGTTTAGGTTAATTTTGACAATCCATGCTTTTTGAAATCTTTGAACGTCATTATAATACACATATTTTCAAAGAACATGCTTCATTTGTGAGCAGACAGGCACATTAGTTTATGGTGGAAAATGTTATCATAATATATATTTCTATGAAAAAAAGTTGCTTTTTATTTGTAATTCTAGTAACATCAACAAGTTTGTAGGAGCTCTAACCTATATGTAAACATGACATGGCATACCATTGACATTCGGCATTATCCACTTCCATATAAAACAACCCGTGATGCTTCAGCAGGAACCAATATTGGTTAATCAGAGAACCCCAGCATGAAGAAGTCTTTTCTTCGGGACATTTGGTATGTTGTCACAGTTTTCCTTTTATTTCATTGTTAAATATGTATTTTGATTCACACTTGGGAAAAACTATAGATGTGTGAACGATTGATGTTTATCTGCCCAGATGCACACATTTCGTTTTAATATTTTGCAATCCGTTTTTAGCATTACCCAGTGGCCCGACCGGGCCTTTCAAGCGATCAACAACATCCTGTCATTGCTGAGAGTTAATCATTCCGAAATAAATAAACACAGTGAGTGAGTATGGTTTGACACCGCCTTAGAATATTCCAGCAATATCACGGCAGGGACATACATGGGCTTCACATTGTTCCCATGTACGGAATCGAACCCAGGTCTTCAGTGTGATGAGCGGACGCTTTAACCATTAGACTACCCTACCTCTCCATCATAGGGATGAAGCCTATCAGAAAATGGTGGTTAATTGCAGTGTTTTTTTAACCTTGACAGACCCATCTGCTGATCCTTTTCCTGTTAAATGAACAAGCATCTGTCTATGCTGCTCATACTGTGAAGATCCGGGTTAGAATTGGTCTTCTGCAACCCAAGCTTGTAAGATGCGACTAATGGGATCGGGTGGTCAGGTTCACTGACTTGGTTGTTGACACAGGCCATCATATCCCACATGCGTAGATCAATGCTCATGATGTTGATCACTGGATTTTCTGCTCCCAGCTCAATTATTTACAGACTGCCGCCATATAGCTGGAATATTGCTGAATGTGGCATTTAACCACACACAAACACAACTTAAGATAACACTCTTGTAGGACATCAGTACAATGTTTATTTAATGGAAGGAAAGTGGGGATCTATTGATATGTAAAATAAGCAACATATTTTTACATCTACATGTATTTGGCTACAATGGAATGCTGTGAATGCTGCTTCACACTGTTGTCAGGAACTCCAGATAAACCATTACAACCTCAAGCAAAAAGTATCATCCAGTTACGATTGGGCACAGCCAACAGTCACAGTGATTGGGCACCTGATCTATTGTTCCCTACAGATAGAATCACCATGGCAACTGAAAACTGGAAGTCGAAACTGGTAAACGACCACAAAGTACAGACGATCAAATGCAGTAAAAGATGTTTTATTAAAACTGTGTAAAGTGATAAAATGTACAGAATATGTGTGCACACTGACTTCTGGAATGAAAACTGGATCCAAATATATCTGTGTAAATAAGTATACTGTGATCACACAATACACTGGCTCACAGCTATGGCACTGAACATAACACATAGGTACAGTGCTTCGCAAAATACAGTGTTCATATAGGCACAGTACTGTGCAACAGATAATATGTACATGGACACAGCTAATTAGCAGATATCGAACACATATAGCACAGCCAAGCAGTCATTTTACTTGTATGTATAGAGCTGAATAGTAGACATTACACACAGGTATAGTGCTAACAGTAGGCATTGCACGCATAGGCATAGTGTAGAGAGCAGACATTGTACTTGTAGGCATAGTGTTGAGAGCAGACATTGTACTCGTAGGCGTTGTGTTGAGAGCAGACATTGTACTTGTAGGCATAGTGTTGAGAGCAGACATTGTACTCGTAGGCGTAGTGTTGAGAGCAGACATTGTACTCGTAGGCGTAGTGTTGACAGCAGACATTGTTGTACAGGCACAGGCATTGTACTCATAAGCATGTTGAGAGCAGACATTGTACATAGTGTTGAGAGCAGACATTGTACTTGTAGGCATACAGGCATGGCACTGCTCAAAAGCAGGCACATTGCTCAACATCTGCTCAAAAAGGCACTGTACACACAAGAGGCACGGAGCTGAACAGAGGACATCATATACACTGGCGTAGTGCTGGGGCCCGATCCGTTGCACTACACATAGCCTATGATAAAGTGTAGAGTTATGACAGGTCGTGACGTTACGAACACACTGTGGATCGGGACCCTGAACAGCAATTATTGTACACATAGGTAGAACAGTGCATATTGGTAAAGTATTAGGGAGGCATGCATTTTATCCATCAATGCTTCGAGTGATTGTTTCACACCATGTTCCCTCAATACCCGTGAACGGCTGCTGCTGCTATGTGATGTAGTAGGAGCTAGTTCCAACCAAGGAACCAGGCTGTAGCCTGCTTCTTGGAGAGGAAAACTATGAGTGAATGAGTGAGTTTAGTTTTACGCTGCTTTTAGCAATATTCCAGCAATATCACAGCAGGGGACACCAGAAATGGGCTTCACACATTGTACCCATGTGGGGAATCGAACTTGGGCCTTTGGCGTGATGAGCAAACGCTTTAACCACTAGGCTACCCCACCGCCCCAGGAAAACTAAGAGCCATGTGACCAAGCAGTGCCAGTAACAACGGCAGTGTTTCTTGTTTAAAACCATAGGCCTTGACTCAAGACATCTTATAGACACTGTGATTTAATGCCAGGCAATTGTAGTCATTCACATGGTTTGTACAAAGTTCTTGCATGGATTTGTGCTCATATGACTTCTGGTACAATACGCTCAAAATTATTTCATCCTATGCTTAAATATAGCCATACATGACCAGAAGAATACCAATGAGAATACTGACACAGGATGGAGGAACGTAGTGCCTGTGTCCCTGTGAATTACTTTGGAGTAGTCAAGTGTATGCATACCAGTGAAGAATTGACAATGTTCATGAGTGGGCACATTACACAGTGCAAGAGTGTGTGAGTTTAGTTTTACGCCGCTTTTAGCAATATCACAGCAGCGGACCCAGAAATGGGTTACACATATTGTGCCCACATGGGGAATCGAACCCGGGTCTTCAGCGTGACGAGCAAACACCTTAACCATTAGGCTACCCCCACCGCCCACACTGTGCAATATGTGCAAGACAAGTACAATGTCACTGAACAGCATAAAGCGTAATCATGGGCAAAGGGTGAGTATTGCTTTGTTTCAGAGGTTTGCAGATACACACGTACAGCACAGTACAGCACTGAAAAGCAAAGCACACAGACATATAGCACAACCATAGCGCACAAAGGCCATTGCTCTTCTTGTGATTGAGTTGGGTGTTACATCGCTTTCAGCAATATTCTAGCGATATCACGACAGGGGACACCAGAACTGAGCTTCACACATAGTGCCCATGTAGGGAGTCGAACCTGGATCTTCAGCGTGACAAGTGAACGCTTTAACCACTGGGCTGCTCCACTTCTAGGCTTCTCACTGAACAAGGCCTTGTGACTTCTACCAAGACATAAAAAGGCTGTGTGCATAGACTTAGAGCTGACTGGGACTCACAGTGACCACCACGCCACTATAACGCATCTCATACCTCACTATAAAGCATCTCATACCTCACTATGAAGCATCTCAAACCTCACTATAACGCATCTCATACCTCACTATAAAGCATCTCAAACCTCACTATAAAGCATCTCAAACCTCACTATAAAGCATCTCATACCTCACTATAAAGCATCTCATACCTCACCATACAGTTCCTGACCTGATGACAGTCACACATAAAAACTCATTTAATCATTCAAAAATAATTACATATCACAAACAATACTAACTTGTGACTCTGTGAGCTTGTTTGTATAAACAACATATACAATAGTACAAAGTTGCTGTGTCAATCATTGTGAGCATTTGACATGACCTTTGAACAAAACAAACTTTCCTTCAGAATGCACAACAAACTATACTGGACAAAATAAGTTAGGGATATTGGTATTTTTATGATTGATATTTTATCAGAGTGTCATTGAATAAATAGATCATTATTCATAATTTCAAAAGTTACATATATCCCTAACTATTTTTGTCCAGTATATATGAAAACAATTCCAATTCTAAATATTAGCTTTTGACATGATGTTCAAACTTTCAGATTAGTTTGGTTATTTTAACCTGACAGCAATGATCATTTATTAGATTTAGACAATACATGTCAATTTCATTAACAAAAGAAATGAGACCCGATGTTTACATGTTGGTTTACATGTTTACATGTTGCTAATTCAGCCACTGTTCCACATGACCTTGGTGGGTCATCTCTGCTGGTCCTGTCTGTTCGAAGGTTGCATGCTTGATATGTACAACATCTATATACAATGGTGTTATGTACTCAGTGATCTAATCAATACAAAGGCTTGATCACAGGCTTCAGGCTTTCTCAGCATTTGTAGCATAATTGCATGAATATTTCATTGCATGGTGTACGAGGGAAAGTCAAAAGATGTCGGCCTGACCTAGTACAATCGCTTGTTAAAGTGATTCCCCCTTCATGTTTACTGAAACAGCTTGTTTTGGAGACACTACCCACCCCCTTTCAGACGACGAAATCACTTATTCTAATGTTTCATTCTAAGGTTCAAAGTAAATACTGAATGGTCACACAAGTGTCAACTCTCAGTATATTGTAAACAGGGCCGGCTTGAATATCTGGACACAATGTTTTTGAAAGACTAAAATGGGGGCGTCCTTAAAAGAAACAGCCCCCGACTAAATATGAATCAAGCAATCCAAAGCTTTGACTCTTGATTATGACGGGAAGTCATCCAATTCTATACTAACATATTTTATATGACATTATCTGAGGGCATACCATTATCCAAGAGGTACTAAATGACGGATCGTTTTTCATTTTCTGCATTCATTCTGGAAATATTATACCCCGATGTGTTGTGATGACTAATATCTCGTTAATCACATTACCCACATATGTGAATATTTTTATACGGCTTTGCTAATGATTCCTACAAACTAAAATGGCAGCTTTTCAAACATTGGACATCGAGAATATAGTTAGGCCGACTACCTTTTGACCGACCCTCGTATATGTACATCTATATAGCACAGTTTATGAATACACTTGCATATCACATCTTCACGACTAGGATAAACACATCAGAAGAAGAATCATGTTTCCAGAATGTTTCTAACGCTATTTAAGTTAGCTAAGTTCATTTATGAGCAGGAGAGCCTAATGTTTATCAGGTCGAAGCCCAATGTTAGGCAGAGTGAGGCCCAGTTTTTGGCAGGCTGAAACCCAATGTAAAGCAGGGTGAAACCCAATCTCAGGCAGGGTGAAACCCAATGTAAAGCAGGGTATAACCTAATGTTATGCAGGGTGAAACCCAATCTCATTCAGGGTGAAACCCAATGTAAAGCAGGTTGAAACCCAATCTCATTCAGGGTGAAACCCAATGTAAAGCAGGGTGAAACCTAATGTAAAGCAGGGTGAAACCCAATCTCATTCAGGGTGAAACCCAATGTAAAGCAGGGTATAACCTAATGTTATGCAGGGTGAAACCCAATGTCAGGCAGGGTGAGTATTCTAATAAAATCAGAGCTTGAGGAATAGCAAATGAATATCACAATTTATACCTGTTGGAGAATTGAACCCACAAGTCAGTTTGAAAAGTCCACCTCTAAGCATAATACTGCTCAACTAATCTCCTACCTTGAATATCACCGTGGTTACAAGAGAGGCTGTTTACTAGCAGCTTGTAACATTTTGCTGTTCATTCAAAAATTGACATAGAGTCAGCAAAGACTTTCTATAACATACATACAGTCAGCGGCCATACCAAAATAAGAAGACCCAGAACATCTTTTGTGCATTTAATGCAACAAAATATACTGATAATGTAAAGCATGCTATACAAAAATGTTGCAATGCTGAAACTAATGGATGTTCACATATGTTATACAACTCGTACTTCACAACTAAGGGTTATAGATCTCAGAGTGGAGTAATAAACAGTATACATTTAATAGGTTGTCTCAGTCATTATGATCAGATTTTTGTTTGGGAGATAACATAAAGGTCTTCATACCTATGTGGTCACACCTTAGGCTAGTGAGTTTGTTCAAGACTGCCTCTGTTCACCCAGGACAAAATGGGTACCCGGTGGTGTAGGTCATATGACAAAAAAACGTGACAAAGTAAAGTCTTCAGCCGTCAGCGCAATCCTCTAATACACCTACAGAAATATTTTCACAATACTGTCCATGGATTAAATATGACATACTGAATATCTTGAAACTCTAGCAATTGTGAAATTAATCAATACATGCTATGTCTCAATACTGACCGATGACAAGAGGTCCTCCCCTCGTACCTCTTCAGGTAAACAAACAGGTAATAACAAACTTGGTAAAAAAAATAAGTGAAATTTGCAAAACAACATCACTAGCCCTGATGATTTACCCTTTGAATTGAGTTTCCTGCTATGCTGGACATTGTTCTAGAGGCAGATAATAAGATATTATTATTATAATGTGAACTAGGACAGAAATAGCAACAAGCTGTTCACACATCTGGTCCTCATGGCGATTCATGTAAGAAATACAATTCCTAAAAATAATCTCTGGAGCAGTTATTTAACAAGATATAATGTATCTTGATGATATATTATCAGCCTCAGTTTTCACTAGATATACAATATACATAAAAATAAGGGCATGAACAAAACACATTGTTATATTTGATTGCTATTGCCAGATATTTGTTACGTTTGGAATAGTCTGACCAATCACAGGCATTGTGAGAAAACATTATGTTGATATGTTACAGCTTATGAGTCAAAGCATGGCATGTATGAAAAATAATATCTATTCTCTGTCAAATAAGATTTGTTTCAAGGCATTCACAGCAATAGTCTGATAATGTTTGCTGTAAATAATGTGGAGCGGGTGCAATCCTGCCATCAGATCACACACAAGTGTTTGGCAAAATTAATGTAAAGAATATTAAACATAATACAGGACGTCAAGTACAATACTAACAATAACTATCTATTCCACATCATGGTGCTCTGCGTAGCAGTTGCAACAACATCCATTGTCTGAGTTCAGATGTCCTCTGAGTCCACATCACTAAGTAGTCCTGATGTAGTGTAGTGCACTGGCCAGCACAGCAGGAACATCAGCCTGTAATCCATTGTCTAAGGTCCGACTGTCTGTGACAGGAAGCAGGTGCCCAATAATCCATTGTCTTAAGTCTGAAGATCTGTGACGGAACAATGGACATGTGATCCACTAACCGTGTAACATGCCAGGTAACTTGTTTTTAATTGTTCATCAATCAACCTTACTAGGGACGAATATCCTAACAAACTTGATCACAGAGTTTCATACAGGGCTATGTCTAGCATGACATGAATGACAGCTATATAGCTAGGAGACCTTATATGGCCTGCTGTCTTGTGACAGTGGTCCACTGATGTCGACATTTCCCATGTGAATGATGCTGATGTGTTGGTTCCACAATGCATGACAGCAATATGATTAAAGACACCAGTCAAATCTCTTACACTTCATGACCTTAGATGTTTTCTGAAACCACAGCTTGCAGACATCATGGAATCTACAACAGAGTTGATCTGAAAATTTGTGGACAGAGAAAAGAACACAGACGGTGGCTGCAGTCCTAACCCCAGAATTGACATCGCCAGTGGTGTCTGGCGCTCCAGAGGCAAACATGAAGAACTTGCGACACCATCCAACAATATGCCTTCCAACCACCTAAAGGTCTTCCACCCTGATCAATGAGAATATGATCCATGTTAGTTAGGGATAGGATGGAATGTCTAAATGTACATTCAATTATCTCTTGTATTCACCCTGTTTAGGAAAAAACAACTAAACTTTTTGTTTCTGAGACAAAGATTAAAATGAAATTAATGTACCTCATATTAAAAAAATGCCAAACCCTCCATAATATTTATTCTCTCTCTCTCTGTCTCTCATTCTCTCTCTCTCTCTCTCATTCTCTCTCTATTCTCTCTCTCTCTCACTCTCTCATTCACTCTCTGTGTCTCTATCTCTCTCTCGAATGACATATATATTGTGTATGCCGGATGGCGCAGTGTGCTATTGATTTCAGAAACCTTCTCTCCAGGTAGGAACCCCAGATATACACCTGGTCGTCTAGGTAACACAAATGGTGTCATGTAAGCAGCTGGACAGTTCAATAACAGATAGGACCTAATATATAATATTTGTCTTTCAAAATTCTCTCTCTCTCTCTCTCTCTCTCTCTCTCTCTCTCTCTCTCTCTCTCTCTCTCTCTCTCTCTCTCTCTCTCTCTCTCTCTCTCTCTCTCTCTCTCTCTCTCTCTCTCTCTCTTTCTGTGATTTGTGACGATGTTTAATTGTAACATTGAAACATAGACATGATATGTTTATGATGAATAAAGAGAAATCGACTGACTTACTGATTTGTATTTATATATTTATTTCTATGTACATGTGGTGTTAAGGTAACTGTAGTTGAAATGAGTTTATTTTATATCTGAATGTATTATGAATAAAATATATGACATAATACATTCAAATATATAATACACTCATTTCAACTACAGTTAATATAGTTGAATAATCATAATTTAATATGGACATATGGTAATCACTGAATACTAATAATTGAAACCAAATGGAGCCATACAGATTCTGATTTACTGAAACTCATGGAACATGGTTAATGTGATTAATAGAAACGAAAATCAAAGGGAAACATAATTGAACTAAATAAATAAATGAAACCATCTGAAAGTAGAGGATAAGGGAAACCCAATGGAGCCACACAGGAATCGGGGTAACGGAAACGCACTGGAGCCCTACAGGAAACTGGGTAACGGAAACGCACTGGAGCCTTACTGGAATCTGGGTAACGGAAACGCAATGGAGCCTTACTGGAAACTGGGTAACGGAAACGCACTGGAGCCATACTGGAAACTGGGTAACGGAAACGCACTGGAGCCATACTGGAAACTGGGTAATTTGTAAGTTTCCGCTTTCCGGAAACTGGAAGGAAATGTAGAGAAACAGTCCGGAAACCTAATTGAAACTTAAGTTTCCATTTTGTTTCCGGTGTCCGGAAACCAAGTTATTTTTGCTGTGCCCCGTTAAGATAATGTCGGAATCAATATTTGGGGCACATATCAGATTTGAACTTGAAGCTGTGTATGCTGTCGAGCAACAACAGCATTGAGAATAGTATGTGACTGTGAAGCTCCTATGAAAGCGAACATCAAAGGGAGATAATAACGACTTCAAGTTTCGGTTTACAAACCTTGCGTTCATTTCTACAAACCGAACTAAGAGACCGGATGAATAAAATAACTGCATCTATGGGATCATAGGAATGGGATTACTACATGACTACACTGTCTGGCATAAAACTACATTCCTTCACAGTAGTTTTACTTAGAGAAAATGTATAATATCTGAATTCTCACACATTTACATGATGGGAGAATATTTTGTCATTCCCAGATTTAAGGTTCTGTGTTCGTATTCAGATTCAGGCTTTGAGAACCCGTCCTATTTTGATGAGCGTATGTCGGCGACACTCCCCCGACATGGCATTCCATCGATGACAGCAGACCAGGTGTATTCAGAGGTGAGAAGAGTTGTAACTGTCACTTGACACGTTCATGTATTATGTACACCTACTTCTTGTAAATACTTCCCATTATATAAAGTTAAATCTAAACTTACCAGATTTTAAAAAAGGTAGTGTTTTTGTTCTTTTAAATTTTGGCTAAATATTTTCTACAATCGCCAGCGGCTGATGGGATGGTGTAAATCCAACTAGGGTCCATTCAGATAGGAAAAGCATTGTACGTCACCATGGTCCCAAGTATGGTGATCTACCTTTCGTTGTTGGCGATCTACAGCCTATTTTTATATTGTATTGTCTTCGTAGATAAAACATATTACATATAATAGCTAGTTTTAGACACCATATGTGATACTCTAGATATTTTAAAGTCCTTCGATGACTGATTATTTAACAACTTATATTTATTGTGTATGTAAAACCTTTCTTGTTACTATATATGGCTGAAATATTGCCGAGGTGACGTTAATATTTTAACTCACTCAGTCAGTCCTTCGGTGATTCTAGGTGAGACTGGTTGGTTGGCTGTTGTTTAACGCCGCACTCAGCAATATTCCATCTATATGGCGGCCGTCTGTAAATGGATCCGACCAGACAATCCAGTGATCAACAGCATGAACATCGATCGCAATATGCAGGATAAAGGAAGAGTTGAGTCTTTAAAACATTTTTTCCTGAAATAATTGTTTTGCACGTTGTTCGACTGACATGATATCTACAATGTACTGAGGTAATTAACATGGGTGCAGTGGGGGCAGAGCGCGATATTAATTAACATTTATTTTGAGATCTCATAAACTGCATTTTGGATCCACTATGTGTGTATGGCTGGCTGTTGGCTAGACTGTGTGTGTTGTGTGAAAGATTCAGAAATACGTGTGATGTTTATTTCAGGTACAATACAAACATCATAATTGGTCCACGGTCGTTAGGATACAGAGGTGTCACAGATATTCGCGCCACAACTCTCCAAACACAGACTCATATGAAAGGAAGACAGTGTGGGAGTGCGCCCGACAGCCTTTATATCTTGATGAGACTGTAGATATCACGTGACGTCAACCAGGAAGCAAGACAGGGCCGTGTTGTTCGTTACACACAGAGGAAACGCGGGTAGGAGTAGATGTACACCGATTATTTTAGAGAAATGAAACTGTTGATGGTCATTTACATTCCTATGATCCCCTAGATGCAGTAATTATATTCAACCGGTCGCTTAGTTCGGTTTGTAGAAATGAACGCAAGGTTTGTAAACCGAAACTTGAAATCGTTATTATCTCCCTTTGATGTTCACGTTTATGGGAGCTTCACAGTCACATACTATTCTCGACAGAAAACACAGCACTATTTCAAACTACAAAGCGGTGGATTAAACAATTAAATGACCAGATAATCCAGTGATTGCTCTTCAGTTCCGTTACAATAACCATTCAACCGAGATACCTTGGCGGAACACACTATTCTTTACCTCGTAACAGAAGTGATCAGTGATATTAACAGCTGAAACATGACGGGCGGTAGTAAGATTTGTTTGTTTGCTGTTCCTTGAGGACGGTGCTGGTCTCTCAGATCCTGCCATGGAGCACCTGGTTGATCTCTCCGATCATTTCATTGAGTACACTGTATGTCTCTCAGATCCTTTCCTTGAGCACATGGTTGGTTTCTGAGATCCTTTCATTGAGCTCGCTGTAATTCTTTCAGATCCTTTCCTTGAGCACATTGTAGGTCCCTCAGATACTTCCCTTGAGCACACTGTTAGTCTCTCGGACCCATTCCTTGCATACTGGTTTCCCTGGTCCATTCTTTGGGTGTACAGCTCGTCTTTGAGATCCATTCCTTGAGTGTGCTGCTCTTCTCTCAGATGCTGTCAAACAAAGGATCACAATTAGGAAGAATCCGGGATCCGACCCTAAGATCAGGAGATCCTGAGCCATATAGAAGCACTTTGAGTTGGTCAACAGGTTTAAATGTTTTCACATCAGTTACAGTTTTCAGTATAACTCCGTGACGATACAGTGTGATTAAATTTTGTTTTGTTTTTCAGACACATCATGACAACTGAGGTTGAAAATTGGCAAGGTGGGAAACCCTTCCCAGAAACCAACCTGCACATGTTGGAGAGTTCGTTGTTGGCTGATGTGACCTTCCTCGTTGGGGAACAAAGGGAGACAATCCAGGCTCATAAATTCATTTTAGTCAGCCGCAGTTCCGTGTTTCACGCAATGTTTTGTGGCTCGATCCCCGAGACCGGTGAGGTACTCATTCCTGATATACAGAAAGACAACTTCAAGACCTTCCTAAGGTTAGTTGAGATCCTTTGTTTAAACATGTCAAACAAACCGTTACAGGGGGACAGAACTTGCACACACAACAATTTAGATTAAGAAAGGTAGAATGATTTATGGATGACAAATTCTTTAGTATATTATGATGCGACATTTCGGTATAGCTTCTTATACCGTGTTGTCACTCTTGCTTGACGCTGGTGTAAGATGTATACCGAAATGTATGAAAAAGAAACGCATTATAGTATTATAAAGGACTTGTTATCCATAAAGCATTCTACCTTTCTCATTACTTATGTACCTCTAAATTGCCAAATAGACAATTTAGATTGATGGGTTGACAGGAAGATATTATTACGTATAAGTTTCTACACATAAGCTAATACCGTTGTCTTTTATTTGTACTTCTATGTTTTCGGTTATTGACACTCGAGTGAAGGTCCGGGATAGAATTGATCTTCAGTAACCCATGCTTGTCGTAAGAGGCGACTAACGGGATCGGGTGGTCAGGCTCGCTGGCTTGGTTGACACATGTCATCGGTTCCCAATTGCGCAGATCGATGCTCATGCTGTTGATCACTGGATTGTCTGGTCCAGATTCGATTATTTACAGACCGCCGCCATATAGCAGGAATATTACTGAGTGCGGGGTAAAACTAAACTCACTCACTCACTCGAGCGTAACTCTTTTCAGAACGTAACAATGTAACATTTGATCACTAGGTGTCTCTACACAGGGGAGGTAGCGTTAACTCCCAACACTGTTCTTGACCTGATGTACGCTGCGAGGAAATACAACATCACAGAACTGGAAAAACAGTGTGAGGAGTTCTGCTTACAGTCTTTGTCGCCTAGCAACGCATGTGTATTTCTCCAACAAGCAGATGTGTTTGATAAAGAAGACCTCAAAGAAAGAGCTCTTGAAGTCATTAAATGTAATGCAAAAGTGAGTGTTTCCAGCGAGGGATTTTGTGATCTAAGTAAGAAATGTCTAACGCTTATCCTGAAGACAGATGGCATGAGAGTTGACGAGATTTGCATCTTCCGATCTGTGATGTCGTGGGCGGAAGCTGAATGCACACGCCAGGGAAGGGAGGTAACTCCGAAAGAGAAAAGAGAAGTACTAGGAGAGTGTTTGTACTTTATTCGCTTTCCGGCTATTTCAGAAGTTACATTTGCCACAACCGTCTGCAATGAAGGTATCTTAAGTGATGCCCATATCATAATGTTGTTCCGAAAATACTCTATAACGGACCTGGATATACGGCCGTTCTGTGACACACCTCGGACATCAGTCTATATCTTGTCTCGCTTACATCCTGACCAAAAGTATCAACCAATTGTACACTCTGCTAAATGTCGACGTGATGCATTAGTCATATCCTGTGACGCCAGAGTTTTCCTGACCGGGCTGACCATGTATGCTGGGGTGGACGCGGACAATGTGTCTGTTGACGTAGTTGTTACTGACAATGACGACACAACCCTGCTGCAGCATCACTACGACGTGGAGGTGAAAGATGAACAACTCTCAGATGTAGTGACGTTTCCGTCACCACTGACTGTTATCAAAGGACAGAGGCTAAACATAAAAGTCACAAGGACGGGAAAGAAACATGTCGTATACACGTGTAATATGAACAGTCAGCGACTGATGACACATGAAACATCTGGTGTGGTGTGGACTCTGGACCACTGCGCGGAGGTCACTCTAACAACAGCTTAGAATACGGATTCATTACTGGGTTGATCTACGAAGCGTAGTGTATATACCCCGTTACCCTGATCTGTATGACGTGATTACGTTGACAGAAGGACAACTCTCCTACCAACACTTGCGTCTCTGTATATAAGTGACGAATGCAGGAACATGTCCTGGGAACAACCACATATTTCAGAGTTGATGGGTCGAGACTACTTTACGGATCATGACAGTGTGTCTCTGAAGTCTTGTGACTCCTACGTTAATGACCATATTAAGACCAGGGCCTAGATTTTCGAAGCTTTCTTAGCGCTAAGATAGTCATAAGTGCCATACATTAACATTAACTTACGACTATCTTCGCGCTAAGAGAGCTTCGCTGTCGTAAGTCTGACAGTATAGGAGGTACGACAGTCGTAAGTCTGTGTTACAGTATAGGAGGTACGACAGTCGTAAGTCTGTGTTACAGTATAGGAGGTACGACAGTCGTAAGTCTGTGTTACAGTATAGGAGGTACGACAGTCGTAAGTCTGTGTTACAGTATAGGAGGTACGACAGTCGTAAGTCTGTTACAGTATAGGAGGTACGACAGTCGTAAGTCTGTGTTACAGTAAGGAGGTGCGACAGTCGTAAGTCTATGTTACAGTATAGGAGACTATATCTTAGGAGGTACGACAGTCGCTGTGTAACAGATAGGAGGTACGACAGTCGTAAGTCTGTTACAGTAAGAGGACAGGTCGACAGTCGTATCGTCTCTTGTGATTGCTGGAGGAACTCTGTGTTACAGTATAGGAGGTACGACAGTCGTAAGTCTCTGTTACAGTATAGGAGGTACCGACAGTCGGCAGTCGGAAGTCTATGTTACAGTATAAAGCGACAGTAAGTCTGTGTTACAGTAGCGCTACGACAGTCGTAGTGTTACAGTATAGGAGGTAATGACAGTCAGAAAGTACTCTCTTACAGTATATAGAGGTACGACAGTCGTAAGTCTGTGTTACAGTATAGGAGGTACGACAGTCGGAAGTCTGTGTTACAGTATAGGAGGTACGACAGTCGTAAGTCTCTGTTACGGTATAGGAGGTACGACAGTCGTAAGTCTGTGTTACAGTATAGGAGGTACGACAGTCGTAACGCTACGATAGCTTGGTGAAATGGGGCCCAGGATATTTTTGTAACGAACCTACTACCAACTTTAGGTATGTATGTGTTATATAGCAGCTTATAATGCAAAACAATGATGTTGGCCTATTTCTCATAGTCTTAGGATTATTAATTAGTGATTCATTATCAAGCACTGTGGCCAGGTCAAAGCCCAACTCGATGACAAACATTCGTTTCCAAGTTCCTGATACAATTAATTGCACCACCTAGCAGTGTCTGAGTGTTTATGTATACAGTAACGGCAAGGAATACAGACACTACCAGCAGAAGCCCAGGCAGATTTCTTTCAGGAAGGGGAATTCTTCCAGTGACGATTTATATAACCTCATGGAATTAGTAAGGCAAAGAATACACAAATTGCGTTGATAATGACTTTGGCAACAACAATATTTTAATGTTAAAACAACTTTCTTTTCATGTAAATCTGGAGTTACACTAGGAAAAGACCTACCGCCTGTTTTCTTTGCAATATTTTAAATGATCTAGAAGTGGCACTTGTACAGGATTCATGTAAAGGTGTCCAATGGAAACCAGATGAAATTTGCGAACGAATCGTATTTGTAGTTGTTTTTTTCTTCGTTTTTCTGCTATTTCAGAAGTTAAATTCTCCAGAACTGTTTTGTGACAGATCTCGTAAATCTGTACCACCAGACTGGTTCCCTTTTGATGGTTGAAGGCCACCTGCCTACCAGAAGAAATAGCTTGCTAAGATAATAACACGTGTGTATGAAGTACTTTTATGTTGTTATTGGCAATATAACTTAAACTCATAAATTTGTGTTTGCTGTATATAATTGATAGTGTTAAGCATCAAATGTTGACCTATTTCTCAAAGTCCTCAGATTAACTAACGATTCATTATCAAATACTGTTGCCTTCCCGCCAGGACCAATGGCCAGGACAAGGGTTGACTCGATTTGTTTCAAATAAACACATGAACTAATACAGTTTGAATGCCGATATATACAGTAGCTGAGGATGATGGTGTAAACAGGCCAACGTTAGGCATATGATACGTATAAACTTAGACAGTTACACGATGTACACAAATACAGGGTCGTGTTGCAACATATCGCCTTGACAACACGCACACTTACTGGAATCCTTACATTTAATGGCCGGCGATGCAGCCAAGTGGTTAAAGCATTCGCTCGTCACGCTGAAGACCCGGGTTGCGATTCATATGAAAGGGTACACTTGGTGTTTGAGCATATTGCTGTTTGCTACAAAATAAACTCACTCACACTCACTCATTTTAAGGGTATGTGCATCTCTTAAAACTGATCAAGAATTGCTGTTTTGTTTTCCCTTTTGTTGTAATTGTCAGACAATACTGTGTAGCTAGGGACATTTTGGAACAAATATAACAAATCGACAGTTATTTCACACTTTTGGGGATCCGGGAGAGCTTGACATTTGGCGCTTGGCAACTGTGATGTCATATTGGCTTAATTGACTTCATATTAGTATAACTGTACCTATTTCGAACTTATTTACAGGTTCGCCCACCGTACTCATGAGGGAGTGGGAGAGTTAAGTTTTACACCGCTTTAGCCATATTTCAGCAATATCACGGCGGGGAACACCAGAAATGGGCTTCACCCATTGCAACCATGTGGGAATCAAACCCGGGTATTCGGCGTGACGAGCGCACGCCTTAACCACTTGGCTACCCCACCACCCGAAATGCATTACGAGGCAAAGAAGAACAATGTGAATGTCCGGTAAACTCTGCTAATGTCGGGTGGACGGTCGGGCCACCCCTACCCCGTCCATAAAGATCGAGCGTTCATTAAACAAGGATGTCGATAGTTAAGAAATATACGTTCTTGGAAATAAACGTGATGAAAGTTACGCAATAAAACCTTTCTTTAGGTAGATATAATTCTATACCATATATGTAACCATATTTGTAAAGGCATCTGTGAGGTTTAGGTTCATTTTGACAATCCGGACCTTAATCTTTGAACGTCATTATAATACACATATTTTCAAAGAACGTGCTTCATTTGTGAGCAGACAGGCACTTTAGTTTTATGGTGGAAAATGTTATCATAATATATATTTCTATGAAAAAATGTTGCTTTTTATTTGTAATTCTAGTAACATCAACAATTTTGTAAGAGCTCTAACCTATATGTAAAAGCTCTCATACCATTGACATTCGGCAATATCCACTTCCATATAAAACAACCCGTGATGCTTCAGCAGGAACCAATATTGGTTAATCAGAGAACCCCAGCATGAAGAAGTGTCTTATCTCCGGGACATTTGGTATGTTGTCACAGTTTTCCTTTTATTTCATTGTTAAATATGTATTTTGATTCACACTTGGGAAAAACTATAGATGTGTGAACGATGGATGTTTATCTGCCCAGATGCACACATTTCGTTTTAATATCTTGCAATCCGTTTTTAGCATTACCCGGTGGCCCGACCGGGCCTTTCAAGCGATCAACAACGTCGTGTCATTGCTGAGAGTTAAACATTCCGAGATAAATAAACACAGTGAGAGAGTATGGTTTTACACCGCTTTAGAATATTCCAGCAATAACACGGCGGGGACAACATACATGGGCTTCACATTGTACCCATGTACGGAATCGAACCCAGGTCTTCAGTGTGATGATCGGACGCTTGAACCATTAGACTACCCTACCTCTTCATCATAGGGATGAAGCCTGTCAGAAGATGGTGGTTAATTGCAGTGTTTTTTAACCTTGACAGACCCATCTGCTGATCCTTTTCCTGTTAAATGAAAAGCATCTGTCTATGCTGCTCATACTGTGAAGATCCGGTTAAATTGGTCTTCTGCACTTACTATCAAGCTTGTAAGATGCTTCTGCAACCCACTAATGGGATGGGATCGGGTGGGCAGGTTCACTGACTTGGTTGTTGACACAGGTCATCATATCCCAAATGCGTAGATCAATGCTCATGATGTTGATCACCGGATTTTCTGCTCCCAGCTCAATTATTTACAGACTTCCGCCATATAGCTGGAATATTGCTGAATGTGGCATTAAACCACACACAAACACAACTTGTAGGACATCAGTACAATGTTTATTTAATGGAAGGGAACTGTGGGATCTATTGATAAGTAAAATAAGCAACGTATTTTTACATCTATTTGGCTACAATGGAATGCTGTGAATGCTGCCTCACACTGTTGTCAGGAACTCCAGATAAACCATTACAACCTCAAGCAAAAAGTATCATCCAGTTATGATTGGCCACAGCCAACAGTCACAGTGATTGGGCACCTGATCTATTGTTCCCTACAGATAGAATCACCATGGCAACTGAAAACTGGAAGTCGAAACTGGTAAACGACCACAAAGTACAGACGATCAAATGCAGTAAAAGATGTTTTATTAAAACTGTGTAAAGTGATAAAATGTACAGAATATGTGTGCACACTGACTTCTGGAATGAAAAGTGGATCCAAATATATCTGTGTAAATAAGTATACTGTGATCACACAATACACTGGTTCACAGCTATGGCACTGAACATAACACATAGGTACAGTGCTTCGCAAAAATACAGTGTTCATATAGGCACAGTACTGTGCAACAGATAATATGTACATGGACACAGCTAATTAGCAGATATCGAACACATATAGCACAGCCAAGCAGTCATTTTACTTGTATGTATAGAGCTGAATAGTAGACATTACACACAGGTATAGTGCTAACAGTAGGCATTACACGCATAGGCATAGTGTAGAGAGCAGACATTGTACTTGTAGGCATAGTGTTGAGAGCAGACATTGTACTTGTAGGCATAGTGTTGAGAGCAGACATTGTACTTGTAGGCATAGTGTTGAGAGCAGACATTGTACTCGTAGGCATAGTGTTGAGAGCAGACATTGTACTTGTAGGCATAGTGTTGAGAGCAGACATTGTACTCGTAGGCGTAGTGTTGAGAGCAGACATTGTACTTGTAGGGATATTGTTGAGAGCAGACATTGTACACATAGGCATAGAGTTGAGAGCAGACATTGTACATGTAGGCATTGTGTTGAGAGCAGACATTGTACTTGTAGGCATAGAGTTGAGAGCAGACATTGTACTTGTAGGCATAGTGTTGAGAGCAGACATTGTACTTGTAGGCATAGTGTTGAGAGCAGACATTGTACTTGTAGGCGTATTGTTGACAGCAGACATTGTACTTGTAGGCATAGTG